CTATGTAAATTAGATTCAGAGCTTCTTTTATATATACATATAATTATGTACTATATAGTTTTTGTTTGCTTATGTTCTGTCGTAAAGATGTGGTCATCTTGTTGACAAAAAAGACTAGCCATAATAATTTTTTTTTTTCTGACGTAACCATAATCTATATATATAATAATAAAGTTTTCTCTCCATCTAAAATATCCACGTAGGTAAAACATTTTCTTTATAATTAGTTTTAATTTTAATTAAGTTTCATTTAATTCATGTTTATATATTTATTATCACTTATAACTTCTAAAATTTCTAATTAAATAAAAATAAAAATAAGTCAACAAATAACTAAAAGTAGTACATATAAAACTATTTGAATATTTAAAATTACATCAATAAATATATTTGATTATGTGCTTAGGATAACGATAAAATTTTATATATTTAATTTCAAAAATTGAAAATATGTAAAATGAATATACATATAAAAACAAATGAATAAAAATATAAAAGACATAAAAAAAATAATATTGGTGTCAAACGATTGTTAAGAGGTTGTTGATTTAAAGAGAAATAATATATATTATTTTACTAAAAGGATATTAAACTATATATATTTAACAAGGTTTCGTACTTGTTTAGGAAGATGTTTAGAAAAACCTTCCAAAACAAGTGAAAATCCTTCCTAAACTTATTCTTACGAAGGTTTCCTACTTGTTTAGTAAGACCATCCTAAACAAATGAAAATCCTTCCTAAACTTATTTTTAGGAAGGTTTCGTACTTGTCTAGGAATGTGTTTAGGAAGACATTCCTAAACAAGTGAAAATTCTTCCTAAATTTATTTCTAGGAAGGTTTCCTACTTGTTTACGAATGTGTTTATGAAGACATTCCTAAACAAGTGAAGATCTTTCATAAACTTTTTTTAAGAAGGTTTCTTACTTATTTAAGAAGATGTTTAGGAAGACTTTCCTAAACAAGTGAAAATCATTCCTAATCTTTTTTTTTAAGACCTTCCTCAACAAGTGAAAATCCTTCCTAATCTTTTTTTTTATAAGGTTTCCTACTTGTTTAAAAAGGTGTTTAGGAATACATTCATAAACAAATGAAAATCCTTCATAAACTTATTTTTAAGAAAGTTTTCTACTTGTTTAGGAAGGTGTTTAGGAAGATCTTCCTAAACAAGTTAAAATCTTTCCTAATCTTTTTTTAGTGAAAATATATATAGTTTAAAAAAATAACATAAAAGTAAATAATGAAATTTACATCAACATAAAAAATGTAATATATGTTAAATAAGACAAAAATATTAATCTAAACAAAACGTAAAAGAGTTAATTTTTAATGATAAAATATTAATACATTTAAAATAATACTATAACTTAATTAAAAACATATATAATTACGTATATATTAGATTTTTCAAATAAGTATAATATATTTTATTTTCGGTTAGTTAAATAACTTTAATAAAATTATGAAACAAAAACTCATGCACCGCGCGAACATATTCTAATATTATCATATATCAAACATAGATATAG